TATACTGCATTATATCTCATGTAGATATACTAACAATTATATTGTTATTAAATGTGTATTACATATCTTACGTAGATATGCCCATAATGATATTCTTATTAAGGGGGTAGACACGGCACGTGACCTCTCCGATTCGGGACGTCGGTATTACAGCAGTTTTTTCGTTGGGCCTAGTGGAGCCACTTGCGTGGTCTGGTACGAACTTGAAAGGTTTAATTTTCAGCTAGCGTGCGCGCAACACGATCTAGGAAGGCAACAGCGCCTCAAGCATTTTTACAAACACATTCAAACGCTCATCTCGCCAGAGGCATCGCGACGATCCGCCTGAAGAACGAAAGCGAAACATTGGCGCGTGGTTAGAGTGAGATGTAGGGTGATCATGCTATCCTTCTTTCAACCTAAATGATAGAATTGTCCCGCTCCGATAAATTCTGACTGACTGAACGCGTGGATTTTATATAGCGCACCGTAGCACCCCTCGCTGCTGAAAAATATATGCCTACTCTGAAGAACCGAAGGAACGTGCAATCTGAGAAACTTTTAAAAAAAAGTTATTAACTTCTTTAAATAAATGTTTCTTAATTAATAAAAATATACAGGATACGTCATGCAATTTCTGACGGGTTATATCTTGAATTTGATAAGAGATAGGAAAAAGCTGTTTATGTAAAAGTTCAATGGTATGATAATGTCTATTTTTCTGTGATTTCATCTTCTCCGTGAATGTAATGATGCACTCAAAAATGCAAATCCACTTTTTATTTAAATGGAATTGCATCAATTTTTACTTGTGTCAACTTCTTGAAACATTCTGCATAAAAAAGTACTAAGTATGCTACTATTAGAACTAATAAATGGAGGGACCTCGCATATATTCAGCCGAGATGTCAAATCTCGAATTAGATGCGACGACCAGCCAAGCGTGAACGTAGAAAGGGACAGACAGTGGAGGAGAGAGAGAGCGGTCTAATGATCAAAGGAAAGAGCCGAAACGTATCGGTGTAACTAATACTAATTCAATTATAAAACTTTTTTATTTTTGACTTTTTTTTACTGAAACTTTTACTAGCGCATTGGTGAAATTTCTCTGATTAAAATGATACCAAACACGATATAGTTTGAATGGGGTGAGGTTTGTTATGGGGCGCTGTAGAAAATCCAGGCGGGCGGCAGTCAAATCTTAGCGAAAGGGGACAATCTCAACATTCAGAATGAGAGAAGGACAGCATGACTGTAGTGCGTCTCACTCAGCGTTCGGGCGATGTTGCCTTTTTCGCTTGCCTTCGTAGCACAGTTCGAGTGACGTAATCAAGCTAACGCTTGATTCTGACTACGATTCCAAATCGGCAGCCTTTCTACTTAGACGCCACCTTATAACTACTAGCTGAACTAAATTTGTCACGTGACTTGCTCTGTAGTATCCAGATAATGGCGGAACTCGTCTTTGGGAATGCTTTTACGGGAATCGGTTATTCGTCCTTATACGAGAAGATCTTGAGCTGAATAAGGGCTCATTCGAAAGAGGAAGGTTCAATGCAGGGCGGTCAACTCACCGTTTGAGTCACAAAACTCTTTTAGTGGCCTAAAAATGCTTCCAATTTGCAACTGCATTTTGTCGATTTTTTCTTCTACTTTCGACACTGATATTATTAAATATACACATAATCTCGTTAAACCATGAGTTGACCGCCCTGCATTGGACCTTCCTCTTTCGAATGAGCCCTTACCCAGCCCTATGTGTTCTCATATAAGGACAAATAACCGATTCCCGTAAACCCATTAATAGGCCCGTTTTTGCCGGTTATGTCACCTCGCTGCATTACCCGTGTCTACCCCCTTAAATGTATATTACATATCTGATGTAGATATAGCTACAGTTGGGGTTAGGGTCAGGTTAGGGTTAGGGTTAGGTTACTTAAATGTATATTACATATCTGATGTAGATATAGCTACAGTTGGGGTTAGGGTCAGGTTAGGGTTAGGGTTAGGTTAGGTTAGGTTAGGGTTAGGTTAGAGTTAGGTTAGAGAGCGGACGTGCGCCGGGTCCGCTCCGGCATTTAAAACGGGATTCGGGGGTAAAGTGTGTGAAAATAAATATTATATAGTCACAGGTTGTTTATTGAGTGTTTTATTATACAATTAGTGAAAAATCTTATGATTTCGAACACGAAGTAAACATTTATGGGCAATTTAAGACGTAACATTGAACAAAAGTGACAGGTAACATGGACGACAAAGACATTTTGACTTTCACATCGGCCGCACTCCACCATGGGCGAGGAAAAAGACACTTGGACAATATGGGACATAGTGCAGTGAAGTGTGAGGGGGTCTACCGTGCGAATGAACGTGAAATAACAAGAGAAACAGAGGTTTTCAGTGGCACAGGTGGATGACACAATATGGCGGGACCACGTGGAGTCACTGTAACAAGGGGACGTTTCCCAACACCTGGGGACATACAGATGCTCGACACATGCACTATTTGGAGCCTCAGGTGACACGATAAATTTAACAAGACGCGGCACAACACTGGTGAGTCGTATTACACTATTTCTGCACATAAACGCGACCGAAAATCCGTTAGCGAGCACGTGGAACGAGGGAAGACGGCGAAAAGACGGCGGATACAGATATACGTCATTTCGACCGTCTTCAACGAAAATACGCACGCGTTAACCAGCCGTCCGACCAATTGAAAGGCTGCCGAGCCTTCGAGCCTGCGTGGTAGCCGCAACAACCGAGAAGAAAAGCAAAGTGCCTATCAATCTCAGCGCCCGGGGCACCGGAGAAATTTTTGATAAACTTTAGATCGTAGCATAATCTAGTACCTTAGTATAGAACAGTTGTAGGGTGTCCGTAGGGCCGTGTATATGTGTATATTTGTGTGCAAAGAATGTCGAAAAAGCTAGTTCGTAAATTCTTATGTGTTTTAAGCCAGTGGCACCCTACGTTGATTTTCAATAGATACTTCGGTGCCTGTTAATAATGAATTCTTACGTCATCGGCGTGATAGAGGTGCGCGACGAACGACGCGGTACACGTGCGCGTTAAATTGACAGTACAGTAGGTTGCCGTATAAGTGCCAACTATAGCGGGGCCCGATATATTGGTCAAAGAAATTTTTTACTGCAAAAATGGGGGAATATAGTTTTGGGGTCCTGAATGACCCATGGGGTCCTAAAAACCCATGAGGCTGTGAGGAACCCAGGGGGTCCTAGGTGCCCCACTGACGTCATGCGCGGACAGGAGTGTGCGAAGAACTTTTAGTTTTGCAGTCAGAGAACAAAAATTGACTTTCCATGGGTTACTTGGTAACCCATGGGGCTCGAAAGCACCCGATGCCAGGCTGGTCCTCTAAGTCAAGGGGCCGGGGGCCTAAAGACCCCGGAGGTGGACGGGGCCACATTCCACAGGGGCTGGGGCTGTTAGCGGCCCAGTGTAAGGGGTCCCCTTAGTACAGGCGCTGGGGTTTCTAGCAACCCATGGGGTCCATGGGACCCCGTGGTGCAGTGACATCGGCAGTGAAGGGTAGGAACGGACAAACAAGGGGAGTAAGGGAATATAAGAACCGTGATAGAGTTATAGAACAATTAAATTAAATTTGCGGGTGTTGTGTTTTCCTGACCATGGCCGCTTTCAGAGGTGTGGACTAAGGCCCCCTAAGGCCTACTTAGTACTTGTGGTTCCCCGTATTATTATTATGATGACGACGTGGACTGAATAGTGAAAACGAGTATGGAATACGGCGTTGATATGGGATGGATATATTATGACGACCTAGGCTTTCATAATGGACAACTCTCTTTTATAAAAAAAAAAAAATTATGGATAAAGGTTTTATGAGGAAGAAAGTTTACGGTGCAGGGGCTTCGGATCCCCCAGTACCGGCGCGGAGGGTAGCGTGTGCGCAGGCTCCCCCGCGTCGTTAACCTACGACTGCGCAGTACGGGTGGTAGACCGCCAGGCCCCCGTACAAGTAATGGCTACTGGCGAAGCCCCGGAAACAAGTACGGGAACAGCGGAAGAAAGACACGCCTTTACAAGGATGCCGCGATTAAGTAGAACTCCTCCAAGTACGAACAAGGAAGAGGTATTCAAAGTCCCGGGGAATAGGCTGGAGTCGATCGACCTCACCGGGGATGAAGCCGAAAGCGAGAGTGAGAGTGATTGGAGTAGAAAGACCAACTGTGAGGGCAAAGTGGGTGAACCCCCCCAACAATTGAGAAGGGAGAGCCTGACCCTGGAGGAGAAGGTTGACGCCAGCTTAGGGGTCATGGAGAAGGTGTTAAATGTGATCAATGAACACAATCTAGTATTTGACAACCTGATTCTGAAGAAAGAGGGGGAGGTGGATTTCGCCCTCAAGAGTACATACATGTCGCTGAAAGACCATATTTCGGAAGTAATGGCAGCGGTGGTTGAGTTAAGGAAGGTACACACCGTTCATGCTGAAAAGAAGAAGGTTAAGAGTACTCACCTGAAGAAGACTGTGACACCGACGAAGACCACTGGATCGCGGGCTGACCTGGGACCTGTAATAGAAAAGAAAAGTATTAGTACACAAACCAAGCACACAGACGGGGGTGATTTTCCTCCCCTACCAGCTGCAAAGCGGCAGAAGAGGAAGGAGATCACGCCCCCCACAGAAAAGGAGGGGAAAAGGACGAGATTCTTAGAAAACCGGGAGGGGATAGGTAGGAGTAGTACAGGGACGGAAGAGGAACAGAGAACCAAACAGGACGGAGGAAATAGGGAGCAGGACAATGAATGGATAGAAATGAAGAGTAGGAGAAGAAGGAAGGGTTCCACGGGAGGAGGTAATAGTAGGGTGGATGTACCGGATGGAGGACTGGGCAAAAGCCCGATGAACAGGACGGTGAGGACGAACAAGGACACACCCAGAAGGAGTGTATTCAAGTGTATTCATTGCGAGTATAAAACCGCAAGCGATTGCGGTAAGGTTTAGCAGGGACAAATCCTTTGCAGAAGTCCTCAAAATGGTGAAAGGGGCAGCAGGGAGGACCCCGGAAGGGATAAGAGGGGTTAAGCAGACGAGGGCAGGTAACCTTCTCATAGAATTTGCCCCAGGGGCCGATGTAGAAGGCCTTAGGAAAAACCTGGATGGCAAGTTGGGTCCAGACGTGGAAGTGGCACGGCTGCAAACACTGATGGATATAGAAATACGCGGAATAGACCCATCGGCGGAGAAAGAGGAAGTATGGGAGGCCATCAAGATGGAGTTAGGACACGAGGCTAAGGGTGTGAGGGTCAAGGTCCTACGAACTGACCCACGCCAAAGTAAAGTGGCGGTGGTAGAGGGCCCGGCTACAGATGTGAGCCGACTCCTAGGAGGGAGGAGGATAAAGATAGGTTGGACGTCGGTCACGGCCAGAGAGATACCGCGGCTGATGCGTTGCTTCAAATGTCACGCAATAGGACATATTGCGACAAATTGCAGCATCACCAAGGACAAGAACGGTTTTTGCAGGAAATGTGGCCAGGAGGGCCACTACATGAGAGACTGCACCAAGGAACCGAGGTGTAGGCTGTGCGTGGCCGATGGGCGTCCAGTGGAGCAAGTAGGGCACGTAGCTGCATCGGTAAAGTGCCCGAAGTATAAAGAGGCGATGAGGGATAAAAGGCGCGAGTGATATGAGGATATTGCAAGTTAATGCGAAACATTGTAGGCTCGCGCAGGATTTACTGATGGCTAGCGCGTCAGATCAGGGAGCAGATCTGGTAGTAGTGGCGGAACCCTACACCATCCCCGATAACTGGTTCGGTGACACTACGGGCAGGGCGGCGATATTCGTTACCAGGACTGGCTTGCACAAATGTAAGAATGTCTCCATTGTGGGGAGTGGAGAGGGATTCATAGGAATCAACTTCAACGGCGTGGGGGTGGTGGGGGTATATATTTCTTCTAACGTGAGCCCGAAAGAGGTAGAGAGGCAACTAGCTCTGATGGAGGTCTTTATCAGGGGTTTGTGCGCAACATTTGACAAGATTTTAGTAATGGGAGATTTTAATGCAAAATCTCCCTTATGGGGATCATCTATATGGAGCGGGAGGGGCAGAATACTTTTTAAGTGGTGTACGGGACTAGGTCTGCGGCCGGTCATTGCAAGAGGAAGTGCGACCTGTGATAGAGGAGGGGGATCGGTGATAGATGTGTTGTTCGGGAACAACATGGGCCTCGACCACCATCTGTCATCGACTGTACTGGATGAGTTCACAGCCTCGGACCATAAATATATACTACATAGGTTCGGTGGTGGGAACAAGGAAGGAGAGGGAGGGAGGGAAGGACCCCTTTGACATAGGAAAGGGAAGAATAGACGAAGAGAAACTGCTGGAGGAGCTGTTGAACAAATATGGCGACGAAAACTCCACCAACCTGAGGAAGACGCACACAACCTTAGAGGTGGACAGGTTCATAGAAGACGTCGATAAGATGGTGAACAGAGCCACAGTGTTTAAACGACCCTTTAAAGGAGGTCATAAATCGGTCTACTGGTGGAATGAAATCATAGCAGAAAGGAGGAGGGAAGCGAACAGGAGGCGAAGAAAGTACACCAGGATGAAAGCAAAGGGCTCGATGGAAGCAGTAGAGGCTGCCCACCTGGCCTATAAAAACGCAAAGAAGGAAATGAACAAGGAGGTTAGAAAGGCCAAGAGAGATAGCTGGCAGGAGCTTCTCAAGGAAATAGATAGGGGCGCTTGGGGAAAACCCTACAAGATGGTGATGGGGCGACTAAAGGGCAAAGTGAGCAGACCCGACGTTATGAGCCCGGTGGAGGTGGAAGAGGTAGTGCGCAAACTGTTCATCACGACTCCGCCCAGCGCTAGCTTACCTGTGGATGAACATGTAGATAGAAGCGAGAGTAACCAAGCTAGAGAATACTTACCGGTTGATGGAGTCACCGAGGTAGTTCCTGAAAATAATAGAGAAAAAAGGACACCAAGATTAGTAGGAGTGGGTAGGGGATACTCACCTGCGTATCTACCTGAAGAGGTGCTAGGCAAGCTGAAAGAGAGAGAGGGGTGGTACCAGACACAGAGGAAATAGCTGGTCAGAGTGGGGTAGATGATTCGGCAACAACCAAGAGGAACACGGTCACCGCAGACGAGGTACTGCGACTGGCGAGACGAATGTCAGCGAAGAAAGCGCCGGGCCCGGATAGGGTACCCTCGTCAGTTGTCAGGAGATTCGGCATGGGAGCCTCGAGGTGGCTAGCGTACATATTTAACATCTGCTACACCAAGGGCTATTGGCCGGAACCGTGGAAGACGGGTCGATTGGTTCTTCTACCTAAGGGAAAGGCCAAGAGTGGTGAACAGAAGGCCTATAGACCCCTATCAATAATTTCATGCCTGGCGAAACTGCTCGAACAAGTCATTAAGGACAGAATACTTGAAGAACTAGAAAAGTGCGACCTGGCAGAGAACCAGTACGGCTTCAGAAAAGGGAAATCTACAATGGATGCGATGGACAGGCTGAAGTCGTACTGGGAAACGGCAAGGAAGGACGGGCGACACTGTCTACTGGTCCTCCTGGATGTGAAGAATGTGTTTAACACGGTCAGGTGGGACAGCATAAATCGCTGTCTAAGGGAGAGGGGTTTCTCCAACATGCTTAGAGGACTGATGCGCAGCTACCTCATGGACCGATGGATTGTATTTGATACCAAAGAGGGGGAAATGCGGTTCCAGGTATTCGGGGGCGTGCCACAAGGGTCGGTTATCGGACCAATACTGTGGAACATTGTGTATGATGGGTTGCTGCGGCATACACTCCGTAGAGATGTCCACGTCATTGGCTATGCCGACGACATAGGGATCGTCATAATTGACGAGGATTTAGAGAGAATGGTGAGGATTGCGGAGTGGACGATCGCAGATATGAATATTTGGTACGGGACGGAAGGTCTGAGCCTAGCCCACCATAAAACTGAAATTATTCTATTAACCGGGCGTAAGGTGGCAGGTGGCCTAAATATCAGGTGTAGAGATACGACGATATCGACGGCTAGACAGGCCAGGTACCTGGGAGTGATAATAGAGATGAATAGGAGCTTCCGGGCGCATGTGGTCACAACTTGCGATAAGGCACTCAGGTACGCAAACACGCTGGCGCAACTTATGCCTAATTTAGGAGGAGCGAGAAATCAGGCACGCAAGTTATACTATAAGGTTGTTGAATCCGTGATCGTCTACGCCGCCCCGATGTGGGCTACAGGGCTGCAGATGAAGACCAACGTCAACCGGCTAATTAGTACACAGCGTACGGCCCTTTTAAGGTTGGCTCAGGCATATCGTACCACCTCAGCGGACGCGCTATGCGTGATCACGGGGCAAATTCCGATTGACCTACTTATTAAAGAGAGAGAAAGTATCTATTATAGAAGAAAAGAGATGGGGGCCTGCACGTATGAAACAGTGAATAACATAAAGACAGAGGCTCGTGAGGTGACGTTGAAGAAGTGGCAGCGGAAATGGGAGGAGTCCACCAAAGGAAGGTGGACCTTCGAGCTGATCCCCCACCTCAGGGAATGGATCGGGTGGGGACCGAAACAGTTGAATTTTCATCTTGTGCAGACAATCACCGGACACGGATGTTTTGGATCGTACCTGATGAAGATTGGTAAACAAGAACAAGCAACATGTTGGTTCTGCCCCGGAATTGAGGATAATCCGGAACATTTCCTGTTTCATTGTACGCGGTGGAACAACGAAAGAGAGGACCTCGTGACCAAATTGAACGTTGACCTTAACGCGGCAAATTTCGTGGGCTTGCTGAAGGATACCATGAGGAGAGGAGCAGTGATTGACTTCATCACGAAGGCACTGAGGGAAAAGGAAGCCTACGAGAGGAGTAGAGAGGCAACACGGAGGAGTAGGAGAAGACCTCCTCCTGCCCCTCCCCCCTCCTAAGTATGATGTGCAGTGTTTGACTTATTTATTTAACTGTGTTTGTGTGGTCTTGGTGCCCTTTACACACCAGACCTGTGGGTGTGAAGTATACGTTTTTTATACATTATGTGAAGTGTGTCCTATTTATTTGATTATTTACTTATTTATTTATTTATTTTAACTTTTGACGTGGAATGATCTTAATTACCTGGGAGCAGGGGTTGACACCAGTTTTATTATTTAATGGATTTTATTTTATGACCTGACTTGACATTTTTTAACTATTTGACTCGATGATTTTATTATATGACCGGCTTTGACGCGATATACCTTCCGCATATGGAAGGATGTCGAGAGAGGGCTAGACGCGCCCCTAAGACAAGGAGATACCCGGAAGGCGGGTCCAGGAAGAGGAAAAGTGCTAAGCACCCAAGGTTTAATGTTAGTTACGCCCAGAGTGGGAGTGTCATGTGTCTAAATGATATAACTATCGAAATCGCCGTACGCCCGCCCGTAGTGTCGAGGAGGGGAGCTCCTCTGGGATAAGAGTAGCCTGCTGGTGCCGCCCCTTCCCCGAAGTAGTGCTGATGACCACTGGTCATAGCGGTTCCGGGGGAGGAATATTCTGGAATAGGCCTAGGCTCCGAGGAAGGGAAAGCGAGGTGGGTTTTTTAGTGGGTAGACCTAATAGGGAGTCCCACAGTACCGGGCATACAACATCTCGCCCGGTCTGCATAAATGCATTTTTCCCACCTCGTTAAAAATTAAAAAAAAAAAAAGTTAGAGTTAGGTTGGGTTAGGGTTAGGGTTAGGGTGGGATTCCCGCTCGACGCGTCGAGGAGAGCGGACGTGTTTCGTGGTCGCTCCGTGGTTAGTTTCGCAACGCGGTGAAAAGCGGCTTATTTATTCGCGTTTTTTGTTAAATAGTGTTTATTAAGTGTTCGGGAGTGCTATTGTTGTGTTTTGTGATTAAATAATGTGTTAATTTATTGTTAAATAACGAAAATGTGATGTGCGTGTTACGCGGCATTTCCACGTGTGTTCCCGGTATTCGTGGCGTTAATTATGAACATTAGACATTATTTACGGATAATTTCGATTAATCGGGAACGTTTCGCATTAAAATTCCGCGTTTTTTGTAACTTTTTTCGACTAAATTAATGAAGACAACGCATGCAAGATCAGACAGGATTGACAGGTTTTCAAGATGGCTGCTGTGGTTGGACAAGGATAGTCAACCTGCACGCGCGGCCCGGGCCTTGGATAGAAGAGGACAGACGATGGGAAATTAGGTCAACGGTTTGGTGACGTATTATTTTTATTCCTTTATTCTGATTTTATTAGGTTTTCCGTTAATGTTTTCCGTTAATTGCGTCGGTTTATTAAGTGATTTGTGTGAAAGTGCATCGATATTTTTCATTATTTTTCCATATTTCATCGTTATTTCATCGTTATTTGTGTTATTAATATTAATTTACTTTATTTTACTATCTGGTTGCATGCGTTTGACTGACGCGTTATTCCGCTGTATTATTTAAGGGGGTAGACACGGGTAATGCAGCGAGGTGACATTACCGGCAAATATGGGCCTATTAATGGGTTTACGGGAATCGGTTATTTGTCCTTATATGAGAACACATAGGGCTGGGTGAGGGCTCATTCGAAAGAGGAAGGTACAATGCAGGGCGGTCAACTCATGGTTTAACGAGATTATGTCCATATTTAATAATATCAGTGT